GTCAGTCTGTCCTGTCACAGACAGATATTCATAAACCTAACACCTGCCAACCTTGGTGGCAGCAAACCCAAAAGTCTGAGGTGAAATTCTTGTTTGGGACTATGATAGATTAATCATTTCCTCAAAATGATGCCAACAACAGGAAGTGTGGCAATAAGTTCTGTGCTTGAACCTAAGTGACACCCACTATGACCCAAGGATGAAAAGCCACAGTGGCTGTGATTGATTCAAGAAAAGTGATGTGTTTCGTATAGCCCATCTCCAATCCTTCTGACAAATTTCCAAAATTTGGGGAAGTCATGCTGGAAACCCTTCATCTTCTTCAAGAACAAAGACTATTTTTCAGTCTTCAAAAAGAAACTGGGAAGGGACAAAATGGGGAGATGGGATTATGCTAATGGATGATTTGCTGTGGATATGGATGGTAATCTATCAGGAGATGATCAAATCTGTAAAGTTTAAGTACATATTGACTCAATCTATAATTATTTCCTGCTTATTCTAACAAATCATAAAATCATCTGCTGTTTTATGATGTAATTCAGGAGAAAGCAGTTAGTGATCCATCCCCATTAAGGGATGTCTTGGGCTATGACTGGGTGAATATTTCTTTACTGAACTTTGTTCTATTTATATTATGCATTTCCAGAAGCTCTGAACTGGAGCCAGGCTGCTTCTGGCCAAGTAAATTCCCATGATGCCAGGTTACTGGGCTAAGCTACCAGAGACAGGACTTCTGGGAACTGGTGACAATCTGCAACAGTAACTGTGGTTAGGAATAGAGTGGGGAAAGCTCGAACTATCTCCATAGGCCACTAGATACAGTACATAAACATAGGTGAGCCAACAGCTTTTTATTTTCAAACATCTCGACATAATGAAGTTTTTTAGTGGTAGTTGCATTGATAATAGAACTAGAGGCCTGTGGGTTAAAGGTTATTATGTTTTGAGCATAGTTCATTATTCTGGTTTTTATAAAAGTCAGAGATTATTAAAAGCAGAGTTCTCAATATTTAATGAATATACTGGTAATATATTGAAATTCAATAGAAATTTTCTGAGACAATTTTTGTTAATACTTTTTTGTCAAGTCAACTATGCTGTTAGTTTATATCATATAAATACTTTTGCTTTTATATTTTATTATTTCCAAATACATATTTTCTCCCAAATCCAGTGAGCCTTCTCTTGTAATAAAAATTGAAAAAAAAACCACTTCAGTAAAACAAGCCAACACATCAATTACATCTAACGTCTGTTGAAATTTCTGAAATTAGTGTAGACCAAAAGGGTAATTTTGGGTGTACATAGTCACACTGACATGAATTCATTTCAATTAAAATCCAATTTGAATTTAGTAAGTACTATGTGAAGTTCAGGGGTAGTTAGGTGACATAGAGGATAAAGCGCTGAGCTTGGAATCAGGAAGACTCGTCATCATGAGTTCAAATCCAGCCTCAGACACTTACTTGCTGTGTGAATCTGGGGAAGTCACTTAACCCTGTTTGCCTCTGTTTCCTCCTCTGTAAAATGAACTGGAGAAAGAAATGACGAACCTGACTGAACTGAACCTGGGGATAGAGTGTACCTAACAAGGATCAGCAAAATACATTTGCCTGGAGTCTTGTCAGTTTGATCAAGATGTCTTTAAATTGAGGGGACAGAAGAAATAGTGTTTAAGTTATATTTCATATGCATGTAATGATAATAAAACTACATATATATTACATGTCAATATTTGGCTGAATCTGTAATTTCATTGGTATAGGAAGTGCTTGGTGAGGAAGTCCCTCTTAGCAATGCATGGTATCTGTTCTGCAATTTAGTCTTAGAGAACTGACTGGGACACTTGACAGCTTAAGTGACTTGGCCAGATCTGCTCATCCAGAGGATATTAGAGATGGGACAGGAAGGAAGGAAGGAAGGAAGGAAGGAAGGAAGGAAGGAAGGAAGGAAGGAAGGAAGGAAGGAAGGAAAGAAATAATCTGTTATTAAGCACAATAAGTCAGGTCTTATGCTTATTTGATCATCTTTTCAACATCAAAAGGAACAGGACAGTGGCTTGTGGTTGATGGGATGATGATTCCTACAGAACTCCTCAATTCTTATGTTACTTCTGTTTAGTCTCACATAATTAATTAATTATTGCCTAGAGATGTGTCAGGGATGTTGTAGAGAAGATTATGGTGAGGTTGGACATGTTGGACCAGATGAGGCATTCTTCACCTGGAATCCTTTTAAAAGTCCATGAACATAAAAAAAGAAAAAATATATATAGATCTCTATCTCTGTCTCTCTCTGTGTATATTTTAATAACTGCATTTTCATATAATTGGTTACCTCGGCAATCCAATGACTTTTATTTACTTAAAAGCATGATTCTGAGGAATGGTCTGCTTCACCAGGAGTCTGTAAGAAAAATGAAGATTGAGAACCTGAACTAGATGGCTTCCAAGAGTCTTTTCAACCCTGATATTGTGTGATTGTGTCTTGTGTTGCCTCCACAAAAACCCCCACCTCAGAAGGTTCTGAGTTAACTATGAGCCTACACCCTAGGATGGAGCACATGTAATGGCCTCAGGCACCTGGGGGCTCTCTATAAGCCTCTGTTTTCTCTTTCCTCAAGCAACTGAATGTGTTCATTTGGTAGAATTGAGCCATTGACACTTCAACACCCTTCTATGGTCTTAGCTCCCTTCCCCTTCCCCTCCCTTGCTTTCAGGTGAAGGCTTCCATTTGGTTGAAAGGATATACCTTGCACATGGTGCTCAGAGAAATACTTAATTGGATTTTTGACCTTATAAATTTGCATATTTCATCCAATTATGTGGATCCCAAAATTCTATACTTGCCCACCCTGAGCACCTCTGGTCCGTGTCTTCCCTTAAGTTTATCCCAAGGGACCTTCCCAACATGCTTCAGGCCTTGCTAGGGTTCTCTTGAAATCCTGAGACCTCAGAAGAATGCAGGAGATGTCCATTGGTTTCCCCTCATTTTTACCACTTTGATGACATTCCTTCCATCAAACTTCTTACTTCCTTTTTTGTAATATTTGCAGCCTGCCTACTATGAACCCACTATGAGCCTTTTCAATGCAATTTTAGTAACACACATTGTACATCATGTCTGTCATTGTTCAGTCATTTCAGTCATGTCTAACTCTTTGTGCCCCCACTTGGGGTTTTCTTGGCAAAGGTACTAGAGCGGTTTGCCATTTCCTTCTCCAGCTCATTTTACAGGTGAGGAAACTGAGGCAAACAGGGTTAAGTGACTTACCCAGGGTCACACAGCTGGTGTCTGAGGCCAGATTTGAACTCAGGGAAATGAGTCTTCCTGACTCCAGGCCTGGCATTCTAACTACTGCACCACCTAGCTGCCCCTATCCCCAGGGAAGACTATTTCTAAATTTTGAGCCTTGGCCACTGTGGATAGAATTTGCACCAGCTATATGAACCTGGGCAAGTCACTTAATCCTATTTGCCTCAGTTTCCTCATCTGTAAAATGAGCTAGAGAAGGAAATGGCAAACTACTTCAGTATCTCTGCCAAGAAAATCCTAAATGGGGTCAAGAAGAGTCAGAAATGACGGAACATCTAGAAATGTAAATGCATCTCCTTAACCAGTTGTTCATTTTCCAAGTTTGCAATTCTCTTCAGCATCCCCTTCCTTCATTTGGCAGTAGTGATGAAAGCAGTACTTGTATGCACCCCACTAAGTTCTCTCATATTTTGCCTAGTCTTTTGCTTTTAGTCCCACATCTCTGCGGAACCCTCTCAGTTCCTGGCAGTGGGAGAAGGGAAGGCAGAGACTTAAGGCAGCTTGGGCCTGTATTTCTGAATACAGGAAGTTATAGAACATTTGCTGGCAATGGAACAAAACAGAACAAAAACCAAAAATGAAACACCTGTTTGACTAGAAAATTTGTTATTGTTGTTATTGAATCATTTTTTGGTCATGTCCAACTAACTATTCACTACCCCATCTGGGTTGGTTTATTTTTTCTGGCAGAGATATTGGAGTGGTTTGCTATTTCCTTTTCCAGCTCATTTTACAGATGAGGAAAGTGAGGCAAACAGGGTGAAGTGATTTGCCCAGGGCCACATAGCTAGTACATGTCTGAGGTTAAATTTGAACTCAGGTCTTCCTGATTCCAGGACTAGCACTCCATCCACACTGTGACATCTAACTGCAAAAACATTCAAAAATTAGGTGGCAACAATAAATGCTTGGAGTTCTGGGTTCTATGAAATTCTTCAGTTTTCTTTCTTTTTAGGGACTGGGATCTTAGCCAAATCCCCATGAACTTCAGAGGGCTATTCTATGCAAGCAGAGAGGCTAAATTCAGCACCATCTGTAGGTCTTTCAAATCTGTGGCTGCCAAATGCCAATGCATTTGAGTTGGGATCAGGGACATGATATCCATGGTGTCCAGTCTGAGGCTTCTTTCTTTCTTTCTTTTTCTTTCTTTCTTCTTCCTTTCTTCTTTCTTTCTTTCTTTCTTTCTTCTTCCTTTCTTTCTTTCTTTCTTTCTTTCCTTCCTTCCTTCCTTCCTTCCTTCCTTCCTTCCTTCCTTCCTTCCTTCCTTCCTTCCTTCTTTCTTTCTTTCTTTCTTTCTTTCTTTCTTTCTTTCTTTCTTTCTTTCTTTCTTTCTTTCTTTCTTTCTTTCTTTCTTTTCTTCCTTCCTTCTCTTTTCCTTTTTTCTTTCTTTTTTGTTTTTAAATTTATTTTAAACTTCAATACAAAATAAGAAAAGAAAAAAAAACATTGCCATGTACACAGCAGAACATAAGAGGATTAAATATAAAGCAATAAATTTCCATTTCAAGAAAACCTGGAAAACCTGTATTATAAATACTACACATTATTTTCAAAGCTGTTCATCATCTTTTCTTCATTTGCTTCTTGAATTTTCTACCCAGCAGTCTGCTCAGAAGACAATCCCCTCCTACAAAGACAATAATGCTTATGAAGTAACAGAGTTCCGTGGCTACTGTGGCAACCAAAGAATTTATCCCCATGTCAACCTTGCTTTATACGGCCATAGGAAAGTCTGCGTCTTTTTTGGAACTTGTGACTGGTGTTTGGAGGTGAGAGGGGCATACATGGACTATGGTTCTGGCTGAAGTGGGGGCTTGATTTCTGTTTGGGATACAGCCATGTTGAATTTCAGACCTCCATGAAAGTTCAGGACATGTCCACAAATGAAAAAATAATGAAGACTGCAAGGCAGTGTATGATTGATTGATTGAGTGTCAGATGAATACTGCCTACTGCTAAGTAGAGATCTAGGTGTTCAGAGGAGGGAACCATCACCATGGGCTGGTCTGGTCAGGGAATGCCTTATACATTCTGGAGGAGAGCACATGCTGATGACCCAAGCTGTGAAAAGTGACTTATGGTGGTAAAATGTAGAAGAGAAACTCAGAGTGACTACCACAGTGGGAGTAGCTACACCAAGTGATGGCAAGGCTATGTCACTGTGACCAGAGACAGAGCCTTCCTCATTGAAGCCCTTCTGTGCCCAGCAGAATCCTCTGTCCGGCTCCAGCTGGAGGGGCAATTTTGGGTAAACTAAGAAGCGCCTCTGGGCAGAGGAATAGAGTGACTTAATAACAATCTCCAAGTGTGCAAAGAGAACCAAAAGCTATTTCCTTATGTCTACTAATGAGAGAACAGCAGGAAATGAATGAACCTGTCACTCATTAATGAATTTTGGTTGAGATAAGGAAGAGCTTACTTTTCTTTATTTCTAATCTAATGACCATTACCTTTCATTGTTATTCAGTCATTTCATTCCTGTCTGACTGTCCAACACTTCACGATCCCGTTTAGGGATTTCTTGGCAAAGACACTGGAGTGGTTGGCCATTTCCTTCTCCAGCTCATTTTACAGAGGAGGAAACTGAGGCAAATAGGGTGAAGTGACTTGCCCAGGGTCACACAGCTAGTAGGTGTCTGAAGCTAGATTTGAACACAGGTCTTCCTGACTCCAGGCCTGGTGCTCTATCCACTGGGACACCTGGCCCTCCCAATCATTATCTAGGGATTGTACTCATATATCTAGTCCTAGGGACATTCTAGTCCCAGTTCTGCAACTGACTTACCTGCTTTGTGACCTTGGCCAAATTCCTTAACCTATCTATAATTCAGTGTTTTCATTGTTCAAACGAGACAGTCGTATAAGATATCTAAGCTTCCTACCCAAACTATAATTTATTGATTTACTTAGTATTAGGATTCAGTGCTATTTCTCTAGAAGGCAGGAACTTATCAATATTTCCTATTCTGTTGTGCTTGAGGCCTTAGGATTCTTGGATGCCTGAAAACAAAGATAAGGTGGAGCTAGCAATAATAGCAGCCCCATTTCAATTACACTTTCTTACAACTTTGCTAATAACTCTGTGCTGTAACAAAGAGGAAGATGAAGTGAAGAAAAGGACCTCTCTGGGATGGGAATTGGGAAGGCAGATTGGGAAATATAGGTGATGTAAAATTTATTTATGAATTTATAATAACATTTATAAATTTTAAAATTCATTTAAAATTTACTTTAAAACTTTTATTAAAAAAAAAAAAGAAAAAGGAGCTGTAACAAGGCTCCTAGTCCTACTGAATAAAACTGATCCAAGCAAAATTTCCTCTTATATTGTCTGGATTTATAAAAGGTATAAATATCAGTTTTACTCCTAGGTGGCTGGTAAAAGCCAAGCAAGAACTAACATTTCTAACCAGAGACTGGGTTGAGTTCTGATTTGCTTAAAAAGTGATATTAACAAGCCAGGGCTCATATAATCAGTTAATGAACACACATTTAAGTGCCTACTGTTTATCAGGCTTAGAAGAGGTCAGCTAGGAATGGGGAGGGGTCTGGAGAGCAGGTCATAGGAGAAATGTTTAAAGATATTAGTGATATTTGACATGAGAAAGAAAGAAAGAAAGAAAGAAAGAAACAAAGAAAGAAAGAAAGAGAAAGAAAGAAAGAAAGAAAGAAAAGAAAGAAAGAAAGAAAGAAAGAAAGAAAGACAGAAAGAAAGAAAGAAAGAAAGAAAGAAGAAAGAAGGAAGGAAAAAGAAAGAAAGATTCAATGGCGACATGATAGCTGTTTTCAAGCATCCTTTAGAAGAGAAATTAGTCTTAACTTAAGTAGCCTCAGAGGGCAGAAATAAAGAACTAAAAGTGAAAGTTACAGTAGGTAAATCTCACATCTACATAAAGAAGAACTTTCCAACAATCACAACTGTTCAACAATGCAATAGACTTGTCTTATGTGATAGTGAGCTTCCTAATTCTGATGTTTTTCAAGTCAGGAATTCTTGTTCTGCCCAGGATACTGGGCTAGGTAGTTTAAGATGCCTTCCCCCTGTAAGATTCTGTGACTAATCCCTCGACCTACCTCCATAGTGCAACCACTTCAACTCTACTTAGCACAGGTCTTGCAGTAGTAAGTGCTTAATATTTTGAATTAAATTAATTCTGTCCTTTCTCTTACAGCTTCACCTCCACCCCCCCACACCCCCAATGGAAAACAGGCAATTCAATGTTTTCATGTAACTTAATGTATACAACAAAGACAAGTGATTGCATGACTTGACCACATGACTAATCAGTTCATTTGTGCATAAATTGGTTGTGAATAGGAAGGAGAATTGTTGATTTAGTTGTCAAGTGTAGACAAGAATCAAGAAGGGTATTGGGTAGGGACAACTGGCTATAGAAATAGATTAATTTAATTTTTCCTCATAAATGAAACCATGGTGGTTATATATAAGTACAATTAGTCATTACACAAGCAATCAGTTGAAGAGACTTTTTAAAAAATCCTAAATTACAAATTTCCTCAAAACATATTCTATCTTTAAAAAAAAATCTGCACCCTGTCTTTGTATACATTTTTCCTTTGTCATTGTTGCTTAAATTGGAATTTTTTCATTTTTTATGAGAGATTTTATTTGGTCACATGTTGAATTTTTTTCTGTTTTGGACTCCTGGGTCACCAAATTGCATAAGCTTGGGCCTTTGAACAAATAACAGGCTATATGTGAAGACACCTGAGTCCTAATTCTCTTCTCCATTGTCTCTTTGCCCTCCTTCATATCTTCCCCATCTCTGGCTAATGTGGGAACTTTAAATATTCATCCCTTTATCTTAAGGAAAATATCCTTAGAAATAGTACCTACCCGGAAAGAAAAGAAGACCCTAACTTAAGGAAAGATAGTTACCAAAGGGAAGAAAAGACAGGAAGCTGGAGACCCCAAGAGAAAATTTAGCTTGTTCAATGATTTAATTAAGAGCTACTGCAGCAAAACTGAATTAGACAGGGCAGCTAAGTGTTGTGGTGGATAGAGCACCAGCCCTTGAGTCAGGAGGATGTGAGTTCAAATCCAGCCTCAGACACTTGATACTTACTAGCTGTGTGACCCTGGGTAAGTCACTTAATCATGATTGCTTCAACAACAAAATCCCCCTGAATTAGACTACTGTATTAGTTCTTTGTTGTTTTTAAAAAATATTTTATTAATATCTTTTGTTTTTATATTGTCTAGCTTCCCCTCTGTATTCCTCCCTCTTCCTTTCTTAGAGAGCTATCCCGTATGACAATAAATATTTTTTAAAAATAAAGGGGGGGAAATCAGCAAAACTAAAAAAGAGTTGACATTATATATTACGTTCTACGCTTGTGTACCTCACCACCTCTAGAAAGGAATGAAGGGAGTAGCTTTTTTATATCTCTTCTCTGGGGCCAAGCTTTTTCTTTATAATTTTGAAACATTCCTTTTCTATTGCCTTGTGATGCTTGTTCTTTTTCATTTACATTGTTGTAGTCGTTGTGTTTTATTGTTTTCTTGGCTCTGCTTACTTCCCTCTGCATTAGTTCATGTAAGTCCTTCTATGCTTCTCTGCATTCATCATATTGGTTGTTTCTTACTTACATTAACATTCTATTATATTCAAGTACTGCAGTTTGCTCTGTCATTCCCAACTGCCAGGCATCTATTTGGTTTCAGTTCCTTACTGTTATAAAAATTTCAGTGTATATGGAGTCATTTCTTTTTTACCAGTGACCTTATTGAGGTATACATCTAGTAGTTGGATTTCTGGGTCAAGGACTACAGAAACTTTAATTACTTTATATGCATAATTTCAAATTGCCTTTTAGAATGGTTGAACTAATTTGAAACTCCATCAATAATGCACTAATATGCCTATCTTCCCCACAACATGTCGCCATTAACTATTCTTATCTTATATCGTCATTGTCAATTTTCCAGGTAGTCTCAGTATTGTTTTGACTTGCATTTCTCTTAAGTTTAGTGATTTTGAGCATTCTTTCATGTAGTTATTGATAGTTTGAATAAAAAAACACCTGTTTGTTTTGAATCCTTTAGCCACTCATCTATTAAGAAATAGTTCTTTGTCATATATGACAAAGAATTTTGAATTGATCTATAGACAAAAATCTATATACCTTTGTATGTGTATGTGTGTATCTTGGATTTTATAGTTGTTGTTGTTCAGTCATGTCTGACTCTGTGACCCCATTTAAGGTTTTCTCGGCAAAGATACTGGAGTGGTTTGCCATTTCCTTCTCCAGATAATTTTACAGATGAGGAAACTGAGGCAAACAGGGTTAAGTGAGTTGCCCAGGGTCACACAGCTAGTAAGGGTCTGAGGCCAGATTTGACCTTAGGTCCTCCTGATTTCAGGGCCGGTGCCCTACCCACTGCACCACCTATGCCCCAAAATATGTATATTCTTTAGTGATCATCTTCAGAATACATCATATATCATTTAACTCTAATTTTTCTAGGAATTTGTTCAGTTCTCTATCCCCGCCTTGTTCAATTTTCTGTTAAATTTGTCCAGTTTTGAGCAACACTAAAGTCTCCTATTGAGTATTGTGTTTCTATATCTCTTTGTAATTCAATTACTTTTTCCTTTATGAATATAGATTATGGAGAGTCAACACATCTCAACAACATTAACAACATTAGGGTAGCACTAATAGATTTCAGGAGGTCCATTAACCTAGAGGGGAAAACATTATATCTTTATTCTATTCTCTAACTGAAATTTAGTGTTTTTTTTAT